GCCAGTGAACCGATTTTCAAAAAACTACAGAGCTTTTTCGTCCGTGCCAGAGTAGTAATTTAGTGTATGAATCTCGTTCAAGTCCGAGAAGAACTTTTCAAGTTATAGAGGGGCCAAGGATTAGCGGACAGGCGAGGAGACATACAGACATTCCGACAGACAGGCGACACAGACAGATTGACAGACAGAACTACGGAATTGAGTGACATGACGTATAGGATCCAAAAAAAATATCTCATTTTCTAAATATTTCGCTATTACAATACCGTCTTGCTAGCGGGCGTGGGGAGTGAAAGTAAGTATTTTCAAACAAATCCATACCTTGTCGTCTGCTACAACACCCAACGCAAAAAATGTCATAGCTTTTTAATTTCAAGTTATTAGAATAATTCTGTCAGATCTTTCAAGTTGTATTATTATGTGCAAGCAAAACCAGCAGTATTTTCGACCGTAGAAAACTTGCTGATTAACCATTTTTCTTAACCCAGTTTAATAGAAAATTGTATACAGAGTGTTCCTTAATGATATGCGAATATTAAAGGGTGTGAATTTACATGAAAAATTAATGTTAGTTTGCTTTATTAACTATGATCCAAAAATGATTCCTTACAAAAAGTCGGAGTGTTGAAGTTTTGGGAAAAACATGGAAATTAATTAATATTTTCAGAACCGCTTCAGATATTTCACTGTTATTTAGTACGTAGTAAAAGTTAATAAATCTGCATATTCTTCAAGGCAAAACTAATTTTTAGCTTTAACAGTGGCGTGTGTACGGGTATTGACTTTGAGATTTTTTAAGAAAATAATGGTACGCCAATGCTTTTTTGACAAACAAAAATTATTTTTGAATTCCCCGTTCAATTTAAAACAAATGATCTCTCCTGAGCTGCTTGCCTTCGATGCGCCATTATTGAGTAAAAAAATAAAAACCGTTCTATTGTCTAACTTGCAAAATTATTATTAATTTAATTGGAAAAATTAAACAAATTAGGGGTAATGAACAACTATAACTGACGACATTAAAATGACATTAAAACCAACGAAATGATTACAAAAATTGTTGAAAATGGCCCCCTTCACTTAGTATGCATGCTTACGCCCTCCTTCTCATGGAATTGCGTACTCGATGAAATATCCTTGGAGTGTTTTTTATTCTATCACAAGCTGAAACTATCCCTTCTCTTAATTCCTCTACAGTGTTAATGGGACTTGTGTAAACTAGTGTCTTAAGATAGCCTCACAAAAAGGAATCTAAACCGTTGAGGTCAGGGGACCTTGGTGGCCATTCTTGGGGCCCAGCGCGGCCAATCCAATGATTTGGATAAACAGTTCGTAAATAATTAAGAACCGCTACACTGAAATGCGGTGGTGCACCATAATGCACGTATGGTGTATCTGAAGTCACTTGAAATAGCATAAAAACCTTTGGTCGGCGCGTCCTTTGTAATTTCATGACGTATCATAGGCGTGCGGCATTTATTTAGAACGATAATAATAATAATGTTTTTATATCACAATAAATGGATTTTACTATCTTCTTATTTTTTTGATTTGGGATAAAAAATACTTATATTGGGAGCTTAATTTATGTTGACTGAAAGTTAAGAAATGGAAAAATTACAGAATTCCAACGTTTGACATAGCCAAATATTTACATAGCAGGTAGGTATATAAAAAGGTATATAAAGACTTACATTATAGGTATTTATATATCATCCTCGCCTTCGGAGCTGTCGCTAGAGTCATCTTGTAGAGGAATTACAACGGGATTTACAGGAGGCAAAACACAATATTCATTTTCTTTTTCAATAATATGCCTAGAACACTGCTTCCATAGTTCTGTGGCAGCAATATAAGATACTGCATCTCTTATTGTGGCCAACAGCGATTCACTTAATTGAGGGGTCTGATTATGTTTTCTTACTTTTTTTTTAAAGCAGCCCAGACCAACTCAATCGGGTTAAAAATGCAGTAATAGGGAGGTAGACGTAATACTTCATGGCCATTTTGCTGAAGCAGATTGTCAACAACATACTCTTTTTCAAATTTTTGTCTTTTAATAAGATCCAATAATATGGCTTTGGTTGATTTTTGTGGTATTTCCATTCCCTTATCCTTCATAAAATCAATAATGTCTTGTTTCTTTGTGCCTGTATTCAGAATTTTGTTTTTCTGTCGGGAATGGTATGGCGCATTGTCCATAATAATTACTGAATTTGGGGAAATGTTTGGTATTAACTGCTGCTCTATCCACTTTTCAAATAAGTCGGAGGTCATGTCCTCATGATAGTCGGCACATGATTCTTTGATATTTTTGGCAGATAACAGCAAGGCATTAGGTATAAATCCATTTTCACTGCCAGCATGGAGAATAATGATTCCTTTTCCACGGTTGCATGGTGCATTTAAAATGCACTTGTTGCTGTCGTCAACCCAGCCGTACTGCACAACATCATGGGTATCATACCACGTTTCATCCAGCTAAATAAGATTTCTTTTCTGCTCTCTATAGATTTTAACTTTGTGCAAAAATTCCTGGCGCAATTCAACGATTCGAGACGACTCCATAATCACCATTCTGTTATCTAATTTTTTGTATTGAAAACCACACAGTTTTACAATACAGTGCAGTGAGTCTAAGCATTTGTAATTATAAAAATCTTCAGGATAATCTTTTAATTTATCCCGTATCATTTCCAACGTGGGCACCAAATTTTCTTTATAAAATCCGTATATTATACGACGAATATCTTCCTGAAAACCCACGTCTATTCTTTTTAATTTTTGCCCTATGCGCTTTCTGTGAAAGGAATGGTTGACTACATCTCCCCTTTTTATAACCCGATAAATGGTAGACCGACTGATTATTGTCAGGATACAAATTCTGTTTAAAATTTGATTTTGCGAGGAATCTGGATTTTCGTTTTTCAGACAATCATACATATTTAGGATTACTCTTTGGGTCTGTTCCTCTAAATCTTTATGAAAGAATAATGCCTGCACAGGTTCATCAACCATCTCCTCGTGGCTTGGAGCATTTTCCCAAGGTCTCCAAAGGGCCATATTTAGGACACACAAGAACAATCAACACAACAATTAAATCAACAAGTAAACTGAGTATTCAAAAGTCAAAAACACACAAACTAATAAAATCTATGAAAAAACACGGACAGACTAAAGAAAACACGTTTATTCACCGCTACACGGCACTGACTAAACTGTTTCAATTTTCAGTAGCCACCTGCACTCGTTCCGAGCTCTGAAATACACGCTTTCTCATTGGCTATGTCCACGCATAGGCGTGCTTTATTCCACGTGGACCGGTGAAACTGCCTTTGATCTCTTATATATTGCTGCGAAATTTGGCGATTTTTGCAGCAACAGAGCGTGTTAGATATAGATATATAAAACGCACCCGGTATTTCACAGTGTTTCAAGTGACTTCAGATAAAGTATACCACATATTGCTTCTTATTACTAACGGAACATCATCAAGCAGCAAAGGCAACTGTTGTTGAGGAAAGTTGAGGTAAGTCTGTCCGTCAAGTCGTCCCGGCAAGAAGAATGGGCGAATAAAAAGTTTGTCAATAATTCCTGCCCATACGTTAACCGAGAATTGCTGTTGGAAATGGGTTTCGGTTACGGCATAGGGATTTTGTTCTGCCCACGAATGATTATCGTGGATATTCTTATTGGCATTTCGAGCAAAAATAGTTTCGTCCGTGTACAGAATCATTGATTCAAATTGCGGATTTTGTGTAATTTTTTGAAGATACCACTGACAAAAGGTCACACGCCTTGGAAAAAAAATGGGAAGTAATGGATGTACTCTTCAAATATGGTAATTATATAACAAAAATTCCCCTAAAATTCTCTAAAAAATTTGATGGCAAATATTTTAGTGTCTAGCGATCTTCCTTGTACTCGTTTCAGGATGTTCTTCGACTTCGTGCAGCACTGCTTCCTCAATTTCAGGTGCTCTCACACTTAGAGGTGTACCTTCAGATGTTCCTTTTCGGACAGAACCAGTATCAACAAGACGACGATGAGTATTAGAAAAGGTTGGACTATCTGGCAAAGCACGATCGGGACATCTCTGGTGATAAATCCATCTGGCTTGTTCACGATTACCGTCGGCAAGTCCATATACGTAATGCATTTCCGCATTTGAATAATTCACCATTATTAACGAGATTGTAAAAACTAAATACTTAATGAAAAAGATGTCACAGCGAACAGATTTGAATAACAGAGACTAGTCAGATGTCAGAAGCCAGAGACATATTCCAGAGTAACTAGATATTTATTGCTAAATTGCATTCTTCAATTGCTACATTAATTTTTTCGGACAATAGAACGGTTTTTATTTATTTACTCAAAAGTGACGCATCCAAGGAAAGCAACTCACGAGAGATCATTATTTGTTTTGGATTCAGAGAGATCATTTGTTTTAAATTGAAGGGGAAATTCAAAAATAATTTTTATTTGGCAGAAAACCATTGGCGTACCTTTTTTTTCTTAAAAAATATCAAAGTCAATATCCGTACGCACGCCACTGTTAAAGCTAAACATTATTTTTGCATTGAAAAATATGCAACTTTATTAACTTTCACTACGTACTAAATATCAGTGAAATATCTGAAGCGGTTCTGAAAATATTAATTAGTTTCCATTTTTTTACTAAAACTTCAGCACCCGTAGTTTTTGTAAGGAAACATTTTTAGATCATAGTTTATATAGCAAAATAACATTAATTTTTTATGTAGATTCACACCCTTATATATCTGCATAACATTAATATATGTAGTATATGTACTAGTTTTCAGCAATACTATTTTGAATTGTGTGGGATATAGGTCATTGAAAAAGCATTACTCACCTACGTAAAATAAAATAAAAGCCCTAACCTCATTTAAGTTATTGTAAAAACCTCTCCAGAGAATGGGCTACCTGACAGTAATTTTAAAGAAAAATAGGAACATATTTATATAGGTACTCACTTATCGACGCAGTGCGCAGCCGTGATGGCCCAGTTTTCATTGAGTAGGGCAGCCCCGCACTTGTGCAGATACGTGGAGGTCCTCCATTGGCGGAGAGAGATCTGCCAAGGCCATTCGCCGAATGCGGCATCTTCGCCTCCTACGATTCGAGCCGTTGGATGCATTCGTCGTCCACATACTGAAAGAATAGTTTAGTAAGACAGCTGTGAATGAACTCCGTCTCTAAGTCAAATATGTAATTTCGATTCGTAATACCCGTTTTACAATCAGCAAGAGAAATGCTAATCAGAAGCAGAAGCATAATAATAATTTTTATTTTAAAACAATGTACCAATATAAAAGGTAATTCCAAAGAAAAATGAATACCTTGGCGAGGTGCAATCATCAGGTGGTTTCACGATGTAATGCTCTAATTTTTAAAATAATTTTTAAGGTGCAATCATCAGGTGGTTTCACGATGTAATGCTCTAATTTTTAAAATAATTTTTAAGGTGCAATCATCAGGTGGTTTCACGATGTAATGCTCTAATTTTTAAAATAATTTTTAATCTGTTTTTAACTTGTTTTTGTCATGTTTTGTATAAATTTTAACTATTGTGCAATCTATTCAGCTCTCACCATGTTACTGGACGTTTCCCTCATCCTATACGTAAACAACAATTAGCAACATCCTCACATACTACTCTCCTGATGATGATGGCAAAGTCCATTGAAAGCTAGAGAGAATTAAAAAAAAGTATAAAGAGTCCTCTTTGCTTAAATCTTGTCGAAGTACCCAACAAAAGGCGGAAGCTTTAATTTTTCACCTAACTGGTCTAGACGACAATGACCACGTCTCAAGTTATATATATATATATATATACCTAACTATTAAATATAATAAAATTGAGAAAAACTCATACCTGAGCGTTTCTTGCTGCATCAGGGTGTCTTCTCAAAATGAAGATAAAATGTCAAAATCCGTTATTATGGACAATTTTAGGTAAGTAGTCAAAAATCAGGAAAAAACACACTGCAATGCAAAATTATTACCGGATAAAGAAAATTTTGTTCGAATTAAATTTTAAATAACTTTTTAACCTTTGCATCAATTTCGTTAATTTCTCCATCAAAAAAAATTTAAAATGTTTGTTGTTATACAGGGTGTAACTAAAAGACGCGTTTTGCCCTACATCTCTGAACACCATTGGGTTACTGAATAATGTGTCTTCACATGAGAATTTTACGCCGCAACTTTTCGCAACAGTTCGTTTTTTGATTCATGTCAATATCTCAATTATTGAAGAATATATGCTATTTTCAAGAAACTCCTGCGAATCATGGCCGTAAACAAGAACTTGCTTCAAGCAGGCTGTGTCTCAGCATTTTTATGGCATGCCAAAAAGATTCGTCTCAAGCAATACTCAACAAAAATGACGCCGGAACATCTAGCGTAAGCTGTAGCTTTACAAGATCATGGTCCTTGTATTCGGTATATCGCAGAAAGGCTTGCCGTTCCACGCAGTACGATATTCGATGCGATACAAAGACTTAGAGAAACTGGTTCTTACTCAAGAAGTCGTGGGCAGGGATGACGGAAAGCAACAAACGCAGCTGAATATCGGTTTCTGAGACTTCAAACTCTTCGAGAAAGGACAGTTCTTGCTACAGCTTTGACTCGAAGATTGGATGATGTTCATGGTACCATAGTTTCACCTGATACCGTACGCCAAAGAAGGTTGAGAGAAGGAAACCTATCAACTTGCATACCTGCTACAGATCCTCTATTGGATGTAGGTCATCGAAGGCAGGTTTGGTATTTTCTTGAACTCATGCAGATTGGGATATGGACGACTGGAGAAGCGTTATTTTTACAGAGGAGTCTCGTTTTACCTGATGGTCGCTAATGAATGTAGAGAAGGCGTGGAGAATGCTATGCTCAAAGTTGTTTCGCTCCTAAAGTGCAATTTGGTGGCGGAGGAGTGATGGTATGGGGCGGCATTTTTCCGGAGTCCCGCACAGATCTTGTTTTGCTACGAGAAGGACACGTTGCTGCCGACAGGTACTTTAAAGAGTGTTTGGAAGAACATGTGGTTCCTCATATGCCCTTTATAGGAGAAAATTTTCTCCTAATGCAAGGTAATGCTCGGCCGCATATAATAGTAATAATAATATTTATTTACTCTAAAATACAGGGAACATGAAACGAGTAAATAAATATAATATATCCATAGGAGGACAACGCCTGTGCATGGATCATATGTATGTTGAATTGCAAAATATAATAAAATAGAGAGAAAAAAGAAATTATTGGTAAGAATGGTAGTGCATTTATTGTGTAATATTTGAGATTATTTTATTAATTTGATTTCTCCCAATCGTGTTAATAAATTTTTTTAATTTTTTTTTAAGCCTAATGTATTGCGTAATTGTTTTAAATTATTTGGTAAATGTTCGTACAATTTTGGAGCTATATACAGGTGACATCGTTTCATTAGGGATTTGTTTGGTTTAGGAACATTTTTTGTGCGTAATTTATATCTGGTTTTATGATTATGTTTAATTATGTCGTGTTCACTAATAGTTTTGTGATAATGAGTGATGGTATGTAAGAAGTAAAGTTGTTTAGTATCATATACTTGTGCATCATTATATAAGTCATTAGTTGGGTATAATTTTGATTTGCCTAACATTGATTTTAAAATTCTTCTTTGAAGTACATCTAAACCGTTAAAGTATGTCGTGCATGCAGCACCCCACACTACTATACCATATGTTATGTGTGGCTCGACTAAAGCTTGATATATTATTCGTAGATAATATTCAGTTAACATACCGGTTAGAAATTTTATTTTATATGCTATGAATCTAATTTTCTTTAGTATGTGAGAAATATGTACATCCCATCTCAAGTGGGGATCTAGATAAATTCCTAAATATTTTGTATCATTAACTCTATTGATTTTTATATTTTTATCATTTACCTTAAACCGAAGGTGGTTATATTTTGGTAGATGATTAGATAGTGATGAAAATGGTAAAAAATGAGTTTTAGTAAAGTTAATTGTTAATTTTCGGTTATTAAACCACTGAATAATTTTGCAAAAGTCATTTTGGATAATATCTTTTAAGTCGTTCCAATCCCTACCTTTATAGAGTATAGCAGTATCGTCTGCAAAACTGACTATTTTACCAGTACTGTTAATTTTGAATATATCGTTTAAATAAATATTGAATAACAGAAGACCCAAAATTGTACCTTGTGGAACACCACATTTAACAAACATTTCTTTACTACCTATACGAGCTTAATAATTTTACTGATTGCGGTCTATTTGATAAATAATTTTCCATTAAAGTATACATCTTTCCACGAAAACCTATTCTTTCTAAGATTTCCAAAAGTATATTTATATATATATATATATATATATATATATATATGTATATATATATAGCCAGAATGACTAGGCAATACTTCAACGATGTTGGAATTCAAGTAGTAGACTGGACGCCAAGGATCTCAACACCAGTGAGCACATGTGGGATATGAAAAAGGCTTAGGCAGAACTATGGAAAATTTTAAACTGCAGCTGCGTTGGAACAGGCGCTGGTAAACGAGTGGGAGCAAATACCCCAAGACACAATAACTGGTTTAACCATTTCGCAACGGAGGATCTTGTTAGGAAATATGTCTGTCCTTACGGGGGAAACTCCACTTGCTGATTTATCCGCTTCCCGTTCCGAATCAACAGAATATGAAGCGCTGATCTATCCGCTTCCTGTTAGGAAGTCAAATAGCGATAATTTAAAAAATAACATTATAATTTTCAAAGACATTTTCATCCAAAAATGTTATTCAAAAATACAAACGCATACATATATTTATGTATATAACAAAAATATAACTTAAGTAACAAAATCTGAATATACAAATGCATGGAACGTTTAAAATTTTAACACAGTGTTGCTCTTCGTCGCCGGGTTGCAGACATTGCACATTTTTCCGATGATAAGAATGTAAAACTTCCCGACTTAAAATTCTCCACGCAAGACTTTGAGAACATGGTAACTGGGCTGCAAACCGCCTAGTACTTGTACTAAGATCACCTAACGCCAAATTTATGACTTTCAGTTCCTCTTTAACTGTACGCCAGACACCATGGTCTCTAACTCCGGGAAGTTTGGTCTTAGAAATGAACGCGTAAATACCTTTGCGGTAGGTTGGCGTCTGTTAGGAAATCTACGTCGATACTCCCGAAAAGCCGCTAAAACGTTTCCATCACAGAACCCGTACGCAGAAATAATATTGCCGTACTCAACATTGCTAAATTCCATTCCACAACACTCAAAAATGACAAAAAGGAACTTTTGGCTTGACTTGTACAAAAAAAGATTGTAGTAGTAACGATAACAACCGCATGACACATAATTTTGACAAACTATCTCCCAAGAAACGTCAAGTTGGTATCAAGGCCTCCTATTTTATTTTGTAACGAATTGTATTTCTGCTCTTCATGAGTCGACTAATTTGTTTTATTTTTATTTTTACGAAAACTGCACTCTAGGAAAAAGCACAAGAATAATTATTAGTAACAAATTAGAGGTGAAATCCGAGAAAATGCGCAAAAAAAACAGTGGCGTACTATTTATATTTGGAAAAATAATGCCAATGATCCCCTGTATCTCCACCAGTGGTGCACGTTAATTTTGTGTAAAGACTTTTGAATGTGGACAATACTTAGGTAAGTCCATATACCAAATTTTAGTTCATTCCAGTTGGCGGTTTTGAAGTTAATAAAAAAAAAGTTTTTTATTTCTAAACTAATGAAGCCCACGAGGAAAAAATGTTACATAGGAGACCCCCTTAGAAAGCAGTCCTGTGTATGATATTTCATTTCTGGTCACGACTTGTGAATCACCCAGTATTAGTTTGTTCAACAATCGTTTTGGTCTTCTTGGTCAGATATCTTCCCATTCCTCGGCGTCGCCCCCAGAATCGCTATTCTGTGACATTTCTAACAATTCCTGATCTGCTAACTCACTATGAGACATTTCGAAGATAAATATACTAAGTGACATATAAATCCGAACACCCAGTTTAAATGGTTTTATTTTAATAAAATTTTGTATAAGTACTTAATAAAGCATAATAAGTAAATGATAAAAATTTCAAAATGATTGC